TCCTAGTTCTTTCTCTCTCTCATCTCCTCTCAGATCTCACTCATTCATTCACGGCGCCTCTTCGTTTTTCGTCTCTCTCATTCATTTTCAATTCTCCCTAATTCATTCACGGTGCCTTTCGTTCGTTGTTGCTGCTCATCGGTGTTGTTGCTGCTCTAATCCTCGCTTATCAGTGTTGTTGCTGCTCTAAACCTCTCTTTTTTTGTCCAGGTATGATATCTTTCTTCCTCGTACTTCTTGCAACTGATTTAATCTGATTTATGAAGTAGAAGAATTAAAGTTGTAGTTGATTTAATGAGTATATAATTGTATAATTGTAATTTAGGGGTTTACTGTATAACTCTGATTAGTGGTCTATCTTAAGTTAGTTAGTATTTGACAGTTGTATTTCTTGACTGCTTTGCATTATTGTTTGCATATCAATCAAAATGAATCAAGATTAAAGAATTGAACAGGAAAGAGTGAAAGACCAATAATCAAATTTGACATTAAAATTTAGGTTTTCTAAGCTACCACACTATATAACATAGTTGTCCACTACGTTTTGCATTATTATAGTTATAATTCCCCTTAATGAGTATATAATTGTAAGTTAATGGTAATAGTAAATTAATGGGTTGCTACTGAAATTTGATTATATGAGTTTATTAGCGTTTATAGAAAAATAATATGGGATTAATGACTTTTCACTCTCTATTCTATTTGTTGGTTTCACTATTAAGTGTACATCTCAATGTAATGGGTTTTCGACTCTTAACTAGAGTGTAAAAAGTACCTAAATGTGTTAGCATTGATAGGGACAATTATTTGTTATAAGGCTGAAATGTGTTGTTTTGATCCTGTTTTTTCAGCAATGGATCAAGGGTATGAAAATTATGGTGAGGACATACAAGATTATTTAGAAACTTCAGATTCTCAAAACACTATTCAGAATCAAGATTCTTCTCAGCAACAAGTCACTACCACTAGTGGTAGTAAGCGTGGACGAACATCAGATGTGTGGAGGCATTACACCTTTTTTTATAAGATTGTTGGTCTTGCTCCGATAAGATATGCGCGATGCAATGTTTGCGGTAATGAATATAAAGCACCAGGTAAGGCTGGTACTTCCACTTGTAAAGCTCATACTAAGGCATGCATGGGTAAAAATATACATCATCCTGCAAATCTTGAAGGTGTTGTTGATCCTACGTTTAATCAAATTCGTCATTTACAATTGCTTGCTAGAGCTATAATTTTGCATTCCTATCCTTTAAATATTGTGGAGCATCATGGCCTTAGGGAAGTTTTTACGAATCTGAATCCTAATGTGAAGCATGTGTGTAGAAACACTATGTTGAAATATTGTATTGCTCAGCATGATAAGTTTAAGTCCTTGTTGTTGCAATCTTTTTCTGGAATTGAAGGTAGAGTTAGCTTCACTTGTGACTTGTGGACAGCATGCACTAATCGAGGTTATCTCACTTTAACTGCACATTATGTTGATAAAAATTGGTGTCTAAGGTCTAAAATTCTGAATTTTAGATATTGTGGTCCTCCTCATACTGGTGCTGAGATAGAAAAATTTGTGTTTAAACTTATTGGGGAGTGGAACCTTCAGGGTAAAGCTTTTGCAATTACTGTTGATAATGCTCGATCTATGGATGTTATGGTTAAACTTTTGAAGAAAGATTTAATGTTGACTTCTCCTCTTCCTTGTAATGGTAAACTTTTTCATATTCGATGTTCAGCTCATGTCTTGAACATTATTGTTCAAAGAGGTTTGAAAGAAGTTGATAGTAGTGTTCAAAAATTGCGTGAGGTTTGTAAATATATTGATTCTTCGGACTCTAGACTTACTCAATTTGAGCATGCTCTTTCTGGGGTTAACTGTCTATTTAACGGTAAGTTACGTCTTGATGTTGTGACTCGTTGGAATGCCACCTATACGATGCTCCGAAAAGCTTTAGAAGCAAAGGAAGCCTAGAAAGTGGTTATCGATAAGTATATGGGTTATGAATTCAAACTTTCGGATGATGAATGGGATACCCTTGCAAAAATATGTCATTTCCTAAAGCCATTTTATGAAATCACGATGTTATTTTCTGGTTCTGAATATCCTACCGCAAATTTGTATTTTGCTAGTGTTTTGAAAATTGAGCACACAATAACTAAAGCCCATATAGACCCTAAACTTGCACCCATGGCAAAAGTTATGCTTGAAAAGTTTGAGGGCTATTGGGATGACTATAGTTTGATCCTTTCAGTAGCTATTGTTCTTGATCCTCGCTATAAGCTTTTTCGATTGACGAATATGTTGAAAGTGCTTTATGTTGAGGAGGCATGTGTTGAAAAGGCGAAGGTGATTAAAGATGCTCTTTTGGAGTTGTATAACTTTTATTCTTCTATGTGTTCCGGTTAAGTCAAGTACAATTGTTCCCCCCTCCATCCCTATTGGGGTTGATAAATCAAATAGTCTCTTGGATGATGATGATATATTCAAGGTAATCATTTTCTGTTTATTGTGGTTTACTAAAATAATAATTGTATGTCTTAATTTTTATTATTTAATAAAAGCATATTTTTTGCACTTTTCTAGGATGTTGATGTTGATGATAGCCTAAATCGACCATCGATGGAGATTGATAATTATTTGAATACTCCTCGTCAACCATCAATTGAAGGGCAGAATTATGATGTTCTCAAGTATTGGGAATCTCAAATTAATGTGTACCCCATATTAGCTATTATGGCTAGGGATGTTTTGGCCATTCCTATTACATCGGTAGCCTCTGAGTCTTCTTTTAGCATCGGTGGTCGTATTTTAAACAAGTATAGGAGTGCACTTTTGCCTAAGAATGTTGAGGCGTTGGTTACCACACAAAATTGGTTACGTGGTTATGATTGTGATATTGAAGAAGACGTCCTTGAAATTGGTAAAGAGGTGATAGATGAAAGTTTTGCATCTAATTAGAAAGGTATGGATGTTGCTATTTTACTGATGCTTAATTTATATTGTGTTGCTTAATTCAAGCTTTCTTGTTTTTTTTTTTTGTGAGAAAAGTGTAGCTTCATTTCTTACACTAATGATAAGTATAGGGTGCTGCTACTGCTGACTGCTTCTTCTCCTTACTGATGTTCTGCTAACTTGTTGTGTTGCTGACTTGCTGTTCTGCTGTTGTTCTTCCATTCTGCTGCTGCTCTTCTTCCATTTTGCTGTTGTGCTGCTCTTCTTCCATTCTGTTGTTCTGCTGCTCTTCTTCCATCGCTGCAGTTCTGCCATTCTGCTGCTGCAGTCTGCAGTGTTGCTGATCTGCCATTCTGCTGCAGACTGTGGTGCTGGTGTTAATCTTGTTATGCTAAAAACTTGTACAATTCTGTTGTTAAAACTTGTTTGTATGGATTGGTTGGTTTGATTTTGTTACTTTGTTGTTAAAAATTGTTTAATTATGTGTATGGATTGGATTGGTTTGTTTTGGTTTTGTTAAGTTGAAACTTGTTGAATTAGAAGTTTTATAACTTGTTAATGCTATTAATCCTATTATGCTACTGGAATACTGCTATGTTGATGAATAAGGCCCAAAAGGCCAAAAAATTATAGGTTATTGCCCAAAAAACCAAAATTGCAGATTATTCCCCAAAAACCAAATTAAAGTCAATACTCACGGATTAGCTAACGAAGTGCTATTTCTAAGGGAATTTAGTATTAACTAAGTTACTAAGATATATACAATTAATATGATAAGTATATGGTCTCTAGAAAAATTGATAAGTATGGAATATATGCTAAATATATTCTAAGATTTCTAATACTTAATCCATATAATTACATAAAAAAGTGCACCAAAAAAAAAATTATTATTACATACAAAAAAAGCTTGTAAACGGTTCGATTTATAAGCGGTTTGGTTCATAAACGGTTCAGTTTATAAGCAATTCGGTTCATAAACGGTTCGGTTCATAAACGGTTCGGTTTATAAGCAGTTCGGTTTACAATCAGTTCGGTTTTTAAATGGTTCGGTGCAAACGGGTAGCAGTTTGCTAACAGTTCGGTGTAAGCGGTTTTTATGCCAGTTCAAACGGTTTCGGGTTGGAATCGGTTTCGGGTTAGATACGGTTCGGTTCTTTTTCGGTTCGGTTTTCTTTCAGTTCGGTTTATATTTGGTTCGGTTTGTTAACATGTTCGGTTCTTAAACGGTTTAACATTACTCGGATTGGTTCGGTTTCGGGTTTACTAAAATGCGGTTCGGGTCGGTTTTCGGTTTCAAAGAAACGGTTTTTAATCGGTTCGGTTCTCATTTGGGTCGGTTGGATTCGGGCAGTTAAACGGTTTCGGTTTGAAATTTGACAGCACTAAGCATGCGGAAATATCTTAGAAATTGCTCAAAAGTTAAAATTAAAGAGGGTTTCTTAGCTCTTTCATAAAAATTAGGGGGGTCCGTTTGGTTTTCGATTTGGACGCCCCTAATAAAAATTGTGCTTCAGTACAGTAATGTTTTTTAAACTTTTTCCTACTAGACATTTAATTCCATGTGAAATTTCAACAATCAGAGATTCAAAATTGCAAGGAAAGAGAGGGGTGGTACCGTGGTAGTGTGGTACTGGACCAACTGGTACATGAAAGATCACTTTCATGTTTCCAATTTCCATTAATTCCAACTGTACCAATGTCCCCAATAATCATGCCCAGCGACTCAGCGAGTAAATAATTAATTCAAGTTACCTGCCTATATAATGCTATCTAAGCTAGTTAGTTGTGTAGTTCACTAACATTGCCCAGAAATTTCGGCGAAGCGTCTTAAAAACAGAGAAACAGAGATTTCCCCTCTTAAAAACTCTTTTATAATCCTTCAACAAGTCCTTGGAGCTTTCATTCACAAACCACAATATCAGCTTCTAATCACTGCCCTTTCTTATTTCCATTCCCCTGCCTTTACGTGAATTGAACCAAACATTCTCGTAACTTGATTTTTGTTTCCTTTAAACTTCTCCAATAATTCACCCCTCCAAAAAAAAAAAAAATGGCAGATACTATAACGACTGCAGTAGCTGATCTTGCTGTGAAGAAAATGGTTAGCAAAGGTTTTGAAGTAATGAATTATGTAATGGACCTCGACTCTGAGCTGAAAGATCTTGAGAATACAAGGACTCTCGTTGAAGCTGCACTCCTTGATTCAGATTCATTGTCAGAGCATCACAGCAGCCACACTGAAAAAGACACGCTGGAGAAGCTCAGTTGTCAGCTTGATAGGTTGCTTGACTTGTTTGATGCAAGAGCTTCTAGAGAATTGCAGAAACAAGTCATGAGTGGAGGTAACTTCGCTAAAGAGCTACGGTCCTTCTTCTCTGCATCAAATCAGCTTGTTGCACGATTTAAAGATGCTCGAAAAGTTGCTGATATTAAGAAGAAACTGAATTCCATTGCAATAGACCATGCTATGATTGGTCGCATTTGCAGCTTGCCAACTCAAGAGAGAAGTATACAAACTGCACAGTCGTCTCATGTTGTTTCCAATTTGGTTGTTGGAAGGAACAGAGAAAAGGACGAGATTGTAAGCATATTGTTTGAGGAATCCGCGGTGGTGGCTTCGCAGACCCTCTCTGTTGCCTCCATTGTCGGGATTGGTGGAATAGGGAAAACAACAATGGCTTGGTATGCGTACAATGATGAGAGGATGAAGCGCTGTTTTGATGTTAAATTCTGGGTTTCAGCAACTCAGGATTTTGATATTGAAAAGGTGCTGGTGGAGATGATAACAGCATGTGGTGCAGGGGAATTGCCTCACAAACTGTGCACCGTGGATCAATTGTATCATCACTTTCGACGAGCAATTAGTGGCAAGAAATTTCTGCTTGTTCTCGATAACATTTGGGATCATGTTAGTCTGAGGCAGAAATGGGTTGATCTGAGAGACCTGTTATCAGCGCATTCGGCTGGTGGGAGTCGGGTTCTTATCACTACACGTGATCAAAAAGTTGCCAGAATTATGGGCACCGTCAACCCTTACGTGCTTGGGGATTTAGTAGAAGATGACTCTTGGCTTCTCTTTCAAAAGATTGCTTTTACACAATGGCAGGAGCCAGGTGTAGAAGCAATTGGGAAGGAGATCGCTGAAATGTGTCCAAAAGTGCCCCTTGTTATTCGAAGTATAGGAGGCCTCTTAGCAGGGAAACATACGGTTCAGCAATGGCAGGCCTTTAGAAATGATCAGCTTGCTAATTTTGCTTCCTATGGGCGTGACATTATGCATACGCTTAAATTTAGCTACGACCAATTGGATGCCAGATTGAAGCTTTGTGTTACTTACTGCATCTTGTTCCCAAAGGCAACTTATTTCGAAGTTGGTGAACTGATCCATTATTGGATTGCTTTGGGATATGTTAAGCCACAGTATAGTAATCAAAGCTTGGAGGAAGCAGGGCAAGAATATCTAATCAACTTGATTAATTGTGGGTTTTTTACGTGTCATGGGTTTCTTGAATGGGAGGATATGCTTGTCCACAGAATAGTTATGCACGATGTAATGTATGAGCTTGTTCTCTCAATAGCTGGGTTCAAGTACAAGGTGGCAGATTCAAACACGTATGAAATTGACAAAAGGGTTCGTCATCTGTCTTTCTGGAGATTGATGAAGAGCTCAAATTGGCAAATGCCTTCTTCATTACCCAAAATCAAACACCTACAATCATTCATCATAGGCATTCCTACGAGTGCTTTTGCTTCTAGCAATTTTTCCATAATTGATAAATTAATATCAACATATGAAGGTTTAAAAGTACTAGACCTACAAGAGATGTGGATAGAGAAATTGCCAGAATCCGTAGGTGAATTAATCCGCTTGCGGTATCTAAATTTGTCTAGAGCTCAAATAGTGAAACTCCCAAATTCAATCACACGTCTAGTGAATTTACAATCGCTCTACTTGAAACATTGTTTTTCCCTTGAGGAGTTGCCGAGGGACATGAGCAAGTTGCTGAATCTGAGACACCTTTTGTTAGTCGGAAGTACGAGGTTGAGGCATATGCCCATGGGATTGGGGAATTTGACAAATCTTACAATTTTGGATGTGTTTATAGTGGGTGAACAGACTGAATCAGAGGTTAATATTATTATGGGAAGATTATCAGATCTAAGTCGGCTAAACAATCTAAGAGGAGAATTGCATATTGAGGTGCGTAGGGAGTCAAAGTATATACTGTCATCTGAGATCAGTGAAGTAAACTTGGAGATGAAAGAGAGCCTCCTATATCTGATTATAAGTTTCAAGAATGGTACAAAAGAGGATGAGAGGGTGTTAGAATGTCTCCAGCCCCCTTCTAATCTAGAAGCCCTCAAAATAAATGGGTATGGAGGGGAGAGGTTACCAGGTTGGATGGAGGATCATCAATTGGAGGGTCACCTTCCTAATTTGGAAGAACTTACTTTTAAATATTTTAAAGCATGTAAGAACCTGTGCTCCTTAGGAAGGCTCCCTTGTCTGGAAATTCTAAAACTTGAAAACTTAGATGAAGTGGAGTATATGGACGACAACACCAGCATCGTGGATGAGTTGCCCCCAGCTTCCTTATTTCCAAGCCTTCATAAATTCACAATAAAAGGAATGCCAAAATTGAAGGGATGGTGGAGGATGCTATCAAGTAATGAGCAAGATTCAAGGGGGGATCTCCAGGTTCAACAACATCTTGTTAAGTGGAAGCCTCCATTTCCTAAATTAGCATTGCTACAAGTGGACAATGTGGAATTGGCGATTACAATTACAAGGCAGCTGCACTCAGGGTGCTTCACTTCTCTTAAACGTCTCTGTATTGAAAATTATGACATTGGTGAGCAACCTCATCAGCAACAAGAAGCGCCTACCCTCCAAAATAAGTATTTATTCTTTCCCAACTTGAAGTTTCTAAATCTATGGCAGGTGAACGAGGTTGAGATTCTTTCAGAAAGCTTTCGATTATATTCCACCCTGGAAAGAATAACAATAAGTAAAGGTAAAAAGCTTAAGGCAATACCAGAATGGATTGACAACCTCACCTCCCTAAAAGCACTTTTTTTATTAAGATGCCCAAGATTGGAATCACTGCCGCAGCAGATAGCAAACCTCCCAAACTTGGACACACTTCGAATTCATACATGCCCCATACTTTGGGAGAGGTGCCAGAGTCCAAATGGAGAATACTGGCCCCTAATTCAACATATTCCTCATCTATACATAGATGAATAGTTTTCATTGTAATAGCTTCCCAACTCAGCTTTCAATTATTTTCTAATTTTCTTTTCAACCCCAACCCCCTTATTCCTTGTGTTTTTCTAATTAGGAATTCTTGTTACCATGTATGATAATTATCAAATATAGAAATTAATTGTAATGTTTTTTCATACTTCAAATCTTAATTTCACTTCTTTAACAAAAAAAGTGCAATTTGTACACATAGATGGACACAAAACACCAGTATGGATGAAAAGAGTGATTGAAAGACCAAGCTGAGTGAGGTTGCAAGTGGGACAAATTTACCAATAATAGGAAATGAAGAGTATGATCAGTGTGTTAGCCTTTTGGCTTTTGTACACTTACGAATACATTAAAAAAACAGGGTCTTATAGAGTATTTACCGTTGACGTATATTATATTAAGCAATCAGTTTCTCCCTTATACTCAATGACTCAAATGAGCTTCTCCCTATTTCTATATAACCTATTACGTACGAAAATACGACTGACCACTTTAGTATCCGACTAAATACTTGAGGCTAAAATTTATTCATACTTTGGGTTAGTCTCGTGCGATGCACAGTTTTAATAATAAAAAATTTACTTATAAGCGGTAATATAAATGTTTTAAGCAAAACATAATAAATCGTGATCCCTTTCATTAGATTAATTGAGCTAAAATGATGGATATGATGTTAAATATGCTAATTAACTTTATAGCTATAATAAAATAATAAAAATATTAGCATTCGTATTTGATTCATTATAAAAAAAATTGAAAAATTAATAAAAAGTGGAAAATCCAAACTCTACAATCACTATTAAAATGCATGGGATTGTTTTTACAAAAATTTGTGTATGTGGGGAAAAAAATGTGAAAAAGATCAACGGTTAATTTTTACTCCATAGGAATAGATTGTGTATTTAGTCAATTTAGTCATAAAAGGTTTTAGAAAAAATATAATTAACCAAAGAAAAAAAAAAAAGAATAATGTCAATTATAGTTTTGGAGGGAAATATTTTCTTAAATAAAGTTGCCACGTGGATAGTTATGATGTCAGCGGTAAGATTTATTTCTTTCATAGAATTTTATGTGTAAGATTTATTCTTTAATGAGTAGAACTAGCTTAAGGTCCCGTGCTATGCACGAATTTACCAAATTTTATAAAAATATTGTACTTCTTATTTCAATATATACAATTTTTTAATAAATTTTTTCTCTTTATTAAAAGTATCACAAGGTTAATATTCATTAAAAAATACTTCGTAGTAATTAAACTTTAGGTTGTACATATCTGTATGATATACATACTGTGTACAAATTTATATTATAAATTATGCATATCTTTTTTAATAATATATAATATTTTGCTTAAATTTTTTATAAGTTGTTGCAAAAATGTTTTGTTGAATTTGGGAGGGAAAGATTACGTTATATAAAATATATGGAAGATTTGAATAGTAATTAACTTGAATGTATACATATAATGGTAAAGTAGGAAAGAAAATATTATAGTGAATTAAAAATTTACAAAAATAATTTTACAAAAAGGTAAATAAAAAAAGGCGGGATATTATTTAACCAGTGACACGTGTTATTTTTTCTTCGACTTTAGTATATAGTTATTATTGATTTTATTCAGGAAAAAAAAAGAAAAAAAAAAGAAGAACTAAGGACACACTTTGAGATGATACGTGTCATTGATGGCATGTCTTTTAGTATATAGTTATTGATTGATTGATACATATATATAACGTGTTTTTCGTGTAATCGCTTGTTAAAAAACGGAGTAATCACTAATTCACTATAACACTGACAGAAGAACCCTTATTATACTAGAATAACCCCTTATTATACTTACTTAGTATATGCCCATGGGTTTGGGAAATTTGACAAATCTTACAACTCTGGATAAGTTTATAGTGGATGAACAGACTGAATCAGAGGTTAATATTATTATGGGAAGATTGTCAGATCTAAATAAGCTAAACAATCTAATAAGAGAATTGTATATTGAGGTGCGTAGGGAGTCAAAGTATATAATGTCATCTAAGATCAGCGAGTAAACTTGGAGATGAAAGAGAGCCTCCGAGATCTGATCGATTATAAGTTTCAAATATGGTACAAAAGAGGATGAGAGGGTGTTAGAATGTCTCCAGCCCCCTTCTAATCTAGAAGCCCTCGAAATAACTGGGTATGGAGGGGAGAGGTTACCAGGTTGGATGGTAGATCATCAGTTAGAGAGACACCTTCCTAAATTGGTTGAAATTAATACTATAGATTGTAAAGCATGCAAATATATGTGCTCCTTTGGAAAGCTCCCTCATCTGAAAATTCTACATCTTAAGTATTTAGATGATGTGGAGTATATGGAAGACAACACCAGCACTAGTAGCGAAAGTGCTACCAATGTTGTGGACGAGTTGCCCTCATCTTCCTTATTCCCCAGCCTTGAAAGGCTCGCAATTATAGGGATGCCATAATTGAAGGGATGGTGAAGGATGATATTAGGTAATGAGCAATATTCAAGAGGGGATCTCCAAGTTCAACAACAGCAAGCACAACATCAACATCTTGTTAAGTGGAAGCCTCCATTCCTCGAATGTAATCCCCCGTATATTTAAATATTTCGAAAATTTAACAAGAATAATCCAACCTTTGCTCCATTCTCTCAAAATAATCCTACCTTTAGATTATTCGGGAATAATTCAACCTTTATTAACCATTTTCTCCTAACAAGCCCTCGTGACCGGTTACCTAGAGATCAGGTAAATTTTTTTTTTCCTTTTTTTTTCCTCTTGTTCTTTCTTCCTTCTACCTCCTTACTGACATCAATGGCTGGATGCAGCCCCAACCATCAACAATGACTTCCCCTCTCTCTCCTCCGCTCTCTTCAATGTCTTTCCACCTTCAAACACAACAAACCCATCGTCGTCTTCCTTCGATCCCACAATCACAACCAACCCCCTCTCCAAATTCTCCTCCGACCACCATACAATACTGCTACCCACCCCGTCACCTCCCAATTTGGCTGAAAACCACCTCAAAAGCCCAAAACCCCAACCAATTGCAATACTAGTAAAACCCAAACCCCTACAATTTTAAATTTTTTTTACACGAAAGTGAAAAAATCCTAAATTGAAATCTGGGTTTATTTTAGAACTATTTGTTGATTTTTTTTTATTGATTGATTGAACAAAGTGGGTGATTGCTTGTTGGAGTAGTTTCATTATTGTTGGTGCTGGGAAGTTTATGTTAGTGAATTATGTTGGTTGGTGATGCAAGGAAAAATGGATGTGGATCGGTGGTGCAAGGAAGTGCCATTGGTAGTGGTGGTGCGTGCTCTATGCTCATGGTAATGGTCGGTGCAGGATTTGGCGAGGTGGTGTGGGTGATGTATTGGTGACTTGATTGTTGGGTGGGGTTGGTCACAGTGATGGCCGTGGTTGTGGTTGTGGGTGGATTATGTTGGTTGATAATGGTGGGAGTAGTTTTTGTTTTTTCCTTATCTGGGTGGAGGAAGTACAGCATGGTGGATGTTAATAGTGACCATGGAAGTGGCGATGGTGGATGGGGTTAATGGTGGCCATGAAAGGTGACAGGAGATATGGGAACAAGAAGGAGAAAGAAGAAAGGAGTTTTTTTTTTAATTAATAGAATTAAAAGATTAAAATTAAAAATTTAACCAATACGGAGCTGACACGTGGATTGGCAGCCGGTTGGATGGTTAGGGTGACCTGTTAAGGTTGCTAGGAGAAAATGGGTAATAAAGGTTGGATTATTCCCGAATAATCCAAAAGTAGGATTATTTTGAGAGGATGGAGCAAAGGTTGGATTATTCTTGTTAAATTTTCCTATATATTTTATAAATGAAATTTTATTTTATTTATAATGTTTATTTGTATTTTTCCAGAATTTAATTTTCAATTATAATTTGGGTCAAAAATTATTTTAGGCTAAATTATTTTATGAACCTATATCCTACAATCCATTATTATAAAAACAAAGTCTAACCCATTTGCTTATTTAATTGGCCCATTATTTTCATGAGGCCCAATTCTATCCTACAATTCTCTACTATAAGGCTATAAAATATCCCATAAATCCCCAAATTTTTCCCCCACACAAAAGGTTAGTCTTATTTTCTTCCTCCTTTACTTCTTATTATTTTCATAAAGCTTATGTAATTGATTTTTGGGTTTTGGTTTTTATTGCTTGAAATTAGTTTATTTAGTATCAAAATCATGTTTTTGATGTTTTAAATTAATAATTTCAGATTATAATTGTTGTTTTAATTTTCAAATTTTGTAATTTAAAACCTAGGGTTTTAATTTAGTTAAATTGGGATTTTAGGGTTCTAATGATCAATTAATTTGGGGCTTTTGTTCCTATTGAATTTCTAATGATTAATTAAGCATAAATTTTTTTTTTCAGTTTTTCGTAATCAACTTTAATCTCTGTTCTTAATTTTTTTTTAATCACGTTTAGATTCTAACTCGTCTGATTTTTTTTAAAAAAATAGTGTTTTTCATGTGTAAACGACGTTTTAATCAAAATTCACTACCAAAGGTAGCGAGCACCACCCTCTCGTGGCCAAATTCAGCCTTTAAATATGGTTTTCGGACAGTTTTGATTTTTAACGAAGGTTTAATGTTTAAAATAAATTTTTAGATTATTAAAGTTTTAATCTTGGGTTTAAATTGTATTGATTTCATGTGTTTCACGTCTCTAATTTTATTAAACAAAGGTTGTGGTTATTTTATGATTATAATGTCTGAAACTTTAAAGTTTAATTGCAAGAATAAATTTTCAGATTTTTAGTTATTGTTTTTGGAGTCTTTAATTACATTGAATTGAGGAATTTTTGGGTTTAGAGTCTACTAACTTTCTATATAATGTATGGTGATAAAGATTTCTATAACTTCAAGGTTTCATGTGGAAAATAAATTTTCATATTTTTATAAAGCTCTAAACTAGCTGTAATTTCATGAATAAGTATGTATTTTAAGGTT